AATAATATTATTCCTTAATATACTATGTATTTTTGATATAGTGTTATAGATGTTCTAACTTTTAAATTTTAATCATTTGTTAAATGGTTATAAAATATATAAACTGCAAATAAAAAAAGGTGCGAAAATTATTTAAAATATTTATCATATACTATATATTTAAACTAAAAATAGGTAAAACTATATGTTTGTAATTTTTCACAAAATCATCATAGGAATTTAACAAGCCAAATATTGGAGACCAATAAAAAAAGTAAAAACAGATAGTTAAATATTTATTTAGTATTTTTGGGTTCTTTTTTTTTAATGGAGGGAAACTATTTTATATTTATTTAATATTACTTCGTCATTTTATGGATATGGCAATAGTTCTGGCAAAATTTCATTTTTCGGAGACCACTTAAGTTGTTTTCTACAAGATGGTTGAAGTGGTAAAGACTAAAAAGAAATCTTAGATTAGAAATACTTAATACATTCATACCTTAGTTTATTTTTTCTCATTATAAGAAACTCTTAATATAATTAGGTTTGTAAGGTTAAGTAGTTAAATATTTTAATTATTATTTAATTTAGGTACCTCATACATAGACGATTGTAGTATATCAGAACAATAATAGTTACTATTTGATGTTGAAGGTTTGTTATAAAAGCCAACACTGAGAGAATTACTAGTAGCAATAATATGTTGATCTAAAAATAAGATGAATTGAATAGATATATATTTTTTATATTATATACATATATCCATGCAATTAAATCATTACACTTACCATTTATTTCAAAAATTGAAGGAATAGCATTTTTTAGCCTAGGCTTAGTAGCAGACAGTGGAATAATCACTATCAGATGAAGAAAATGAAACATTATTATCTGTAGAACTTGAACTAAAAGAAAAAAATTAATTTAATATTATTTTATTACCAAACAAATTAGAATAAACAATGGTAGTGATTAACAATTATTATAATTATTCAAATAATGTAATAACAGACAGTTACACAGTTACCTCTGTTTAATACTAGCACACCTATTACAACTACCAAAATAACTCCTTATAAAATCGTCATTAGTAAAGTAGAGTTCACACAAATATTTGACAGTAGTTTGTTTGTGATTAACTTTTAGACAATATTTCAGAAGTATCTTTATTTTTCGGAGCTTGAAATATCGAGTATTTTTAATGTGCTTTCGACTTTTACACAGAAGCACAGAACAGTCGTTAACCATTTTTAAATTTTTTACGAAGGTAATAACGATATACGAAATTTAAAACAGTATGCTTAAAGCATGTACAGTATAGAATGCTATTATAATGTGTTAAAATAAACAAATTTATGTTTTATTTTTGAAATAATATGTATTTGTAGCATGCAAATTGTGTTTTAATTAGATTGCAAAGTTATTCTCATAGATTGCACCAGATCCACTTAAAGGAGCGGCGAAACATTTACTGACTGTACCCCTCATACCCGCCCACCCAACAGTGTCCAGTCCTGTATATCTTAGTTCATGGTTGTAAGACGAGGCTTGCCGGTCGGTGAGGGCCGAGGGGACGAGTGCCGACTGTCGCAGGGGGGCCAACGGAAGAAAAGTATTGTGGCGAGAGTCGCCACAGGCGTATTGATAACTATTACCCGCCCATAATATTATGCGGCGTATTAATTACAATAGCCGACATAATTTACAGGGCGGGGTACAGTTATCCCAATCGTGATAAGGAATATGTTTTGTCACCAACGTCAAATATTGAAAAAAATTCGGAATGGGAATTTAATTTGGCTCATGGTGATATACTGTACGGAACGTAGTCCGTTCTATATATTATATCCATTGTAAGTTTATAAATAGCGAATAGGTACTTTTAAATTATAACATAAAAAATATTTATTTTATAATAACATTAGAACGGTGTGGGAAGGGGTCAGTATAGTGAGGTATATCAACACAACCGTGCTTATTATAATTATTTTATAATCTTAGACCGTGATTTTATATAAATCAGTTAATCAGATGACCGAAATAACTAAATATATTTTCCAACGATAACGACTAACGAGTTATTAGTTATTTCTTATTTGAGTACACAGCGACTATATTGAAACTTTTCATAATGCACGGTCGATACAAACCAGGTAATTTATTTATAATATAATAATATTTTAATAATATTACAATAAATAAAGTATTGGATAAATGTTTTGATCTTGGGTAAAATGTTACAAACTACAAACTTAAGTAAAGCATGGCTAAGTATGTTTTTTTTTCACGTATTATTGATTTAAATTTGGTTACTAGGTATTTGAATATTTTACTATTCAAAATTTTAAATATATAATATCATATAGTGTTTTCATATTATGTATACCTACTAATTTTATAACATCGTTTTAAATAAGACCTTTTATTTGATATTAAATAAAATATTTATAAAATTATTATAATTAACAAATAACAATCTAAAATCTTTATTCATGTTAAGATTTCCAGTTAAAACATAATATAATAGCAGGTATATTATAAAATGTAAATTACACTTTAATACACAATACACATATCATTGTAAAATCAATACATTCATCGTTCTGCTTAGAATCTAGAATTGTTAATCAATCAATAAGAAATTTAAAAAAAAAAAATAGTTATTTGTTTTTATTTGTGCCACAAACAAACTGACTCTCAAGCAGGCGATTTATACTTAAATGTTGTAAAATATTATCAAAATTCATATCTTACAGGAAATGGATCAATCTGTCCTTAAACATATCCATCATTATGATGGCCTGCCAGCCTGAGGAACATTAGTATATCCCCATCAACATTCAACGTCTGTATTTGTTGACGAATTTCTTACGTTTTTATAAACATTACCTACCTTGAAGTGGTATCTCTAATCTGTAAATTTTATATATTTTCTTGTTAATGAATCATTCTTGTTTTTATAAGAATTTCAATTTAAATCATAAATTAAACTATACCTATTCAATGATTTGCCTAGGATTGTTATTACTTATTAGTTATAACTAATAATTACTAATATTACATTATATATTTATTAAATACTAAATTTAGAATAAAGTACCGTATAATTTTGTCGTGCTTGGTGTGGTTCTACCAAATATTGATTTTTGAAGTAAATTGAATTCAGTGACAAAACAACACGATGCAAGTTAACATAATTAATACGAACTTTAATAAGTATAACTACTAAAATTTAGAAAAACGAACATAACATAAAAATATGATAATATATCTTATCAACATTAATATGATAAGAGATTACAACACTCCTCTTTATCATGTGCGCGTATCGTGTATTAACAAAAAAAATATTATTGAAGTATTAAATTGTAACAAAAAAAATGACATAGGAAAATAAATTATTTTAGATTTAAACTAAACCAAGTTTTCTTGTAAGTTCCATGAATCTTGAGCTTGGTAAAGGTTTAGTAAATATATCAGCCAACTGTTGATTTGATTGAATATATGTTACATTAACTTCTTTCTTATCAATACTCTCACGAATGAAATTGTATTTTATATCAATGTGTTTTAATCGCTGGTGTTTTCTTGGTTCTCTGACTAATGTTCATACCAAGAAACTGATTTGTGTGTCCCATGTATTCTATTTTGAATTCTTTGCATAAAACATCCTTCAACTGGTCTAAGGCTTTGATGTTGTTGCTAGAAACAATTATATCATCAACATACAACAATAAGTATAAAAGAACATTACCGCTATTTTTGACATACATACAATTATCTGAATTGCATCTATTAAACTTTTGATTAATCATGAAATCATTAAATCTAGTGTTCCAACACTTGGGAGACTGTTTAAGACCATAAATAGAACGGTGTAACTGACATAATCTATCTCCTCCTGATTTATACCTTTCTGGTTGCTGCATATAAATCAATTCTTTTAATTTTCCGTTTAAGAATGCCGTCTTGATGTCCATTTGATACATGAATAGATTTTTGTTATTTACAATAGAAAATAATGTCCTCACTGTCACCATGTTAGCCACTGGTGCATATGTCTCGTCGTAATCAATTCCGCGTACTTGAGAATAGCCCTTTGCAACAAGTCTAGCTTTAAATTTGACAGCTTCATTTTGATTATCATACTTAATTTTAAACACCCATCCACAAGACACTGGTTTTACATACATTTGGTGTATTTACTAATGTCCAAGTTCCATTGTCTGAGAGGGATTTAATTTCACTGTTCAAGGCTGCTATCCATTTATTTTTGTTTTCAATATTTATTGCTTCATTGTATGTCTTTGGAACATTATCAACAAAATTTTGAGCTGACATTGCTAAATGAACATAAGATTACAACTATTTAGGCTTCCTTTTCTCTCTCTGAGGTCTGATATTAATACTAACATTTTGCTTATTTTCTTCTTGAACTGGTTTTTCAATAAATGTTTTATTCATATAATTTGATTCATCATAAACATTTTCTTCTTCAGTATCGCTGTTTGGTTTTTCAGTTTTTGCTATATTTTCTTTGATATTAATTTGTTCTAAGTCATTTTCCAATGAATCGATCCATATTTTATGTGCATTTGGTTGATCACTCTCATCAAACGATCTACGACAAAATGGACGCGGCCGTTTGGACGCAGCCGTTTGGACGCGAGGTCATTTAGACGCGGCCGTTTGGACGCGGGTACATTTGAACGCGAAAAAAACATAAATTATAATAATATTTATTTTCCGGGTATAGGGAAACTATACCATAATCATAATTGATGTTATGGAATTCTTTATACCTATATTATATACTTATATATTATATCTATATAACATTATACTTTTATCATAATATTAGGGATTATTCGACGTTATCGAAAAACGTTATCGAGAAATTACGATTAAAATCCACTCGTAACCAACGAAAACTTTAGTTGACCGAAAGCAGTGATATCTACGTTACTTTTTTAATATAACAGCGATTTATTTAAACACAATATATAATATTTGAAGTAGTTATGGCATTAATAAAGTCAAATCGTAATGAATGCATTTTTACTGAAAATGGTTTTATATATTTATTTGACAAACCAAGTTCTGATTCGCTTAAAAAATTTTGGCAGTGTAAATACAAACGTAAGTGTAAGGCACGCGTTCATACAGGAATTGATAATTTAGAAGTACTGAAACGTATTAATGAACACACTCATGATTCGGAGGCTGCAAAAGTCGAGGCGATGGTTGCCATTAATCGTTTGAAAAATAGAGCAGCTGAAACCATGGAACCAACATCAACTGTAATCAACGAATGTATATCTGGATTATCAGAAGCGGCTAAGGTAATACTATTTTGTTATTAATTATATATATATAAAGTAGTAAAAAATATGTAGTTATTTATTTCATTTATTTTAATTTAGGGTGAAATTTCATCAAGTCTAGCATTGAAAAAAGTAGTCCGACGGAAACGAAATGAAATTAAAGCATCACCAAATGCACCACAAGATTTATTAACTTTAGAAATTCCAGACTCCTTTAAAGTATACTCACCATCAGCAGGTATGACTGAACCATTTTTACTAGACGATAGTGGACCGGGCATCGATCGTATTTTAATTTTTGGAAGAAACCGTAGTTTAGACATTTTATACAATTCAAAAGTTTGGTACTGTGATGGAACGTTTAAAATCGCTCCAGTTATTTTTTCTCAAGTTTTTGTCATACTTGCTGAAGCTTTGGGAGGTTTACACCCACTAATATACACTTTATTGCCAAACAAACAAGAAAAAACATACACTCATTTATTTAAAATGTTAAACGTCCATTTGTCCCTGTTCGCTCATCAAATACTACATCTTTTCCCACTATAACTTTACTTTTAGACGGATCCCATAGTCGATAACCGTTTACGCCTTACGGCATATCCTACCATTTGACATTTTTTTGATTTACTGTAAAATTTTGCACGAAGTTCTTTAGGTATATGACAGTATGCATTACAACCAAAGACTTTAAGATTGGCAACACTGGGTTTAAGACCATACCATAGCTCTGCTGGGGTTTTGTTATTCAATGACATTGTAGGAGACCTGTTCACTAAATAAGTTGCTGTAAAATTTGCTTCTCCCCACATTGTTTTAGACATCTGACTATCTATAACTAGTGTTCTACTTTTCTCAACCAGTGTTCTGTTCATTCTTTCAGCATTTCCATTTTGCTGTGGAGTATAAGGTACTGTATATAGTGGATTTGTATTCCTTTTTCCTCACAGAATTTTATGAACTTTTCTGGAATATATTCTCTGCCATTATCACATTTTAGAACAGAGATTTTTGAGGTAAACTTAGTAGTTGCCATCGCTTCATATTTTTGAAATGAACTAAATGCATCACTCTTTGCTTTCAATAAGTAGACAGTGCAAAAATGAGTGTAGTCATCGATAAATGTAATAAAATACTTGTAATTGTCCCAAGTGGATGGTGTAATAGGACCACATATATCTGAATGAATTATCTCAAGCGGTCTATGGGCTTTTGGTCTCTTGCCAGAAAAAGGTAATCGAAATTGCTTACCCATCATACAACTTTCGCAAATTATCTCTTTTATGTTTTTATCACCTTTTAAGTTAATTCCGTCAACCATTTTAATCAATTTTTATATGTACTGAGGATTTACATGTCCAAGTCTTTTATGCCACAGATCCACAGAGCTGGTAGTAAGAAAAGCTTCTACGTCTCCATGTTTCTTCTGTAATTCAAAAGTTACTTCATATATGGCTCCTTTTCTGTATCCAACAGCTATAAGACTAGTACCTCTGTATATTTTTGCTTTACCATCACCAAATATTATTTTCATAACGGCCATTTCTAATTTTCCTGCGGACAGCAAATTACGTCGCAGATCTTTAACATACATCACATCTTTTAAATAACATTTTTTAAAAAGATTATTATTAACAATGCTAATTAATGACAAATCGCCAATTTTTGTGCCTGATATAGTGTGACCACTTTTTGCAACTCCAATATCTATGAGTAAAGTCAAGTCATTTGAATCAGCAAAATATTGATCATCATTAATTAGATGATCTGTGCAGGCTGAATCTAGTAGCCATACTAATCGATTATTTCCTGTTTCCATGCATTCATGTTTGGTAGTGGCACTATTTTCAATTTGTTCAGCAATAAATACAACAGCATCTTCATCTTCATCATACGGATTGTTAGCCATATGTGCACTCTTCTTAAATGGTTTGGATTTTTCCAACTTACAACGATTACGTTTATGTCCCAATGCACCACATCCATAGCAACGAATTTCTTTCTTATTATAAGTATAAAATACATTAGAACTCTTACTTTCAGCAACTGTTGCACCAGATATTCCACAGCGTTTCACTTCTTCATCTAGAAGACGGCCTTTAACAAAATCTAGGGTTAAATTATCTGTTGACAAAGTCTCTATTGCAGTTATCACTACACTATATGACTCGGGTAAAGACAAAAGTAAATGACAAATAATGTCGTCATCCTCAATTTTGCTTCCTGCCGATTTGATGCTTCTAACCAGATCGTCAAACATCATGAAGTGTTCTTGAAGCGAATTATTCTCCTCGTGTTTCAAAGACATTAATTTTCTTTTTAAATATAGACGATTTGAAATACCTTTTCTTTCAAAAATTGATAAAAGTTTATCAAATTTTTCTTTAGAGGTATTACCGTCCCTTACATATTCTAAATGAGAGTCAGACACACATTGAATAATAATTGATTTAGCCTTACTGTCATCTTTCCCAAACTGAGTTTTTAACGATGCATCCGATATGCTAGATTTCTCGGTTTGAATACAATACAGAACACCTTGATCTTCAAGAATGGCTTCAACCCGAAACCGCCAACTGGAGAAATCCTTGCCACTAAACGATGTAATACCATACCGGCTACCACCATCATCCCTTGACTTATACATGACACTTGTTTTTCATCCAAACTAATCCAATTTAAATACAACTAAGCCACGTACAACTAGCGTTAGATCTGGGCCCATAACCTGAAGTAAATTGAATTCAGTGACAAAACAACACGATGCAAGTTAACATAATTAATACGAAATTTAATAAGTATAAATACTAAAATTTAGAAAAACGAACATAACATAAAAACATGTAATATATCTTATCAACATTAATATGATAAGAGATTACATTGATTTTCAATCAGTGTCAATTTCTCTATAATAAGCAAAATATACCAATGGTCAAACACAAATGATAGATATTTATTATGTAGAGGAAGAATTAATACACCTTTATAATATAATGAAACCTATATATTAGAATTAAAGAAAAATAATATTAATAGGAAAACCTCACGGATGAAATCCCATATATTATGGTGTTTTGACAATAAAGTGGAGTGAAACGATTCCAAATAATTATAGGTCCTGTATTCACATCCAAAAATGCTCAAAATCCTTGGTCCAACTTGAGACAACCAGTATCTTTCAAAGTATCAAATGAGGAAAGTTCTCAAATGTTCCTCAATGTCAGGAAACTGTTGAACATAATTAATGATAGCCCTGAAACCATCATTAATGTCATGTTGAGGACAATCCGGATGGACTCTGTGTGCAGGTAAATGTAGTAGAACTAATACCTAAAATTGTGAAATAAAAAAAAAAGAAAACTACTATAATGCTATACTACTACAATGCTTATACAACCATTCTTAAAACTCTGGCTGCAATAGGGCTACTTTGAAAAATATGGTACACACTGTTCAATCTCCGTTTGCTGTATCTTATGACTGCCTGTGAAATGAAATTCAGATAAATTCGAAGATTGTGTTGAAAATGCCATTCTTAGTTTGTACTCTTTTTACTTAAATATACCTGGCAAAAGTGAAACCAACAACCAATCAATTTAGTTTCAGGCATTACAGTTTGAACTGCATTCATTAGTGGCATTTCAAAATCTGTTATGATACACGATACACAGTTGTTCGTAATCTAATGGCAGCAAATTACGGATTACATTCAGAAGGGCTTGGTAGCTTTCTTGGTTCATTGAAATGAGGAATGCATATTCCATTGGGAATGACTGCAAAGAACAAGGTATACCATTTACTTGATAAACTATTATTAGAGCATATATTTATATGCACTAAAAAAAGTTTCAAAATATGACGTGCAAGAAAAAAAAACTTTATCGCAAATTAAAATTGTATGTCAGTAACTTTTTAAACCTTATACCCTTAGCTGACCTCAAAATTAACTCATATTATTAGAGATCCCTGTTTATTTTGTATACCACATGCTGCTTCCCTTACATGTTGTTCTACATTCGTATTTGGACTTATTATTGGTCAGCTTTTATTAAAATTAATAATTACTTGGTGCCACATGATGATTATTCAATTATTCTTTAGGCTTAAAATATTATTGTATACATTTTTTTTTTAATTTTCTCTTCAATAAACAATACATTTTTAATTTTAATACAATATTATTGTTATTATTATTTGTAGTAAATTCTACTAACTACACTCCTATACACTATCTGGAATGTGATAAAAGCACCATTTTTAAGTTCTGATGGACTTTTAGGAACTATTTTGAACGTACCATCAATTCCAGCTACAACAACAGTGCCCAATTCTGCTCGATACCTTTCTATTGTTTCCATATTGGCAAATACAACACCTACTTGGTTGCAATCAACTACCAAAGCCCAATCACTTCGAAAAAATCTGCGTATTATAAAATATATTAGTATACTTCATCATGTAAGTGATTGATTTGTTATGAATACTATGATTAACTTTTTGCTTTTATTATTAAACTATTAATATTTTTTTTTTTTTTACCTAGTCGGAGGTCTTCGAATCGTGTGACTGTACTTTTCGTGGATGGGATCATTTAATATTTTTACTAAATGATCTAGTGAGCTGGGAAGAGGGGATCGCCTACAACGTCGCTGTCTTGTAAGCCTGTGTTCTGTTTGAAGATATGTATAGTTTTCTGCTGCTTCAGGGTGACTACAATTTCAATTTTTAAGAACAATGAAATGTATTATTGTTTCATGGTTATACTTACTTGACAATTTCCTGATTGTACACTAATCTAACAGAAGAGGATAAATTTCCAGGTGTAAGGACTCTTTTAGAAATTGCTTCTCTAAAGAATGCTAATGGTTTATTAATTATTTCAGGACTATGGATATGCTTCCGGTTTAATGACAGGTAACCTGGATTGTTCAAGTTAACACTAGCTGTAGCAAGGCAAAATGGCCAATCATAATGATTTTTTCTGTGGCAAACTAAATATCTTTAAGAACATAAAAGATAAAGGTGATTATTTCATTTTTAGTATTAGTAATAATTAATTTTAATTTTCTAATCATAATTTTCATCAGGAGTATAGACAAACGGTTTCGTACAGAACTTTTTTTATAGTACTTAAAATTTAAGTTGTCCACATAAACTTGAGATCCAACCTGAACTCCTGGAATTATGGTGTAAGTCTCGGGATTTTGTTCTACTGGAACTATGTTATTTAATATAATATTACAAGTATTAATTTTTATTATACAGTCAAAAAAACATTTTAACAGAAAGCCAATTTTTTTTAGACAAGACAACAGAGGTTCTAAATTAATTCACCTTCATTTTCTCCGTCGGAAAAGACATCGTCATCATCATCATCATCATCATCAGACTCGCCACAATTTAGTGTCTCTACTTCATCAACAATGATGAACAGACATTGGTCTGGATACATAACTAAATTAGGTGGTAAATAATTAAATTATTTTATAACACTTATATATTCTTTTATATTATACATATTATGTTTAAATAAATAAATAAATAGGTTATTAAATGTAAAGATACCTGGTAAAAAATAATCGTGGTCTCGTAAATGTAAAGGTCTGTCCACTTGTTGATCATTCATTTTTTTATACAGTTAGAATAATAATTATTATACACTTAAACAGTTAGGTTAAGTCAAAAATGTTTTGCCAAATAAAGTATATAAGTAATACTTGTCAATGTATTAAAAAAAAAAATCTAAATAACTCAAAAACGTTGCACTCACTCCATATAAATAACAACAACAGACCAACTAAAAATAGAACAAATTGTATAATATGATAAACTATAGTTTTTATCAGCCATTATCAATATTCTGACATGGTTAAATACAAAAATATAATTTTCTGTGTTTTCTGAAAATGTATTTTTTAAAATTAACCAAAGAACTGCCTAGAATATTGTTTAAATTATTAAATGTATTATCTTCTAAACACTTTAGATTTTGGCCTGCTAAGTATTCCATTACTCAAACATTACCTGAATCATTTAAAATAAATTATCCAAATTGCAAAAGAATAATAGATTGTACCTAAAATAAAGTTGAACAGCCAAGTACTGTTGAACAGCTTGTTAATCATCATCATGTTTGTATTATGTATTATTAAATAACATCATTATGTATCAAATTATATATTTTTTTATAAATACCTAATATTTGTAAATTATAATCACCATAAATTATCAAAAATATATATTACTTTTAATACAACTAAATGAGTACATTTAGAAAATGATTTCAACTCGAATAAAACAAAACTTACAAATAAAATATTAGTTATACGAATAAGATAGGTTATTAAAAATATTGTGCAGCATCAAAATTATCAACCAATTTTGGTTAAAAAAAAGGACATTCAAACCACTGCAATGCATTAAAAATTGACATTTAATATAATATTCGTGTGTAATTCTTAAAGTTAATTTTCCATTTGTATTAAAAAAAAGTATTGCATAGCATAATAATATAATTATATTGTCCCCTAGAGTGCGCTGTATTTAGCGTCTCTATTCTAGTAAAATGAATACTTCGGGGTTTTTTTTTCAAGGTTGGTACCATGATATGACATAGTTCTTATCATAATTAGGATAACTGTATCGTCCGTATCTCGCCGGAAGTATACATCCGGTCCATAGAACACTATAGAAGCGACACTCTCGGGGTTTATGTGTTTAGAATTCTTAACGGCCTTGAAACGGTTCGTGAATAGCGTAATGAAAATAATTTTTTGAAGGTGCACTGTAACTGAATAGTTGTGGGGTTTAGACAGTTACTATTCTGAATTCGCATAGTACCAAATACATTTTCCAAACAATCTTGGTTCAATCTCATTGTCATTAGTTCAATCTCTTGATCATATTTTGATAATATATTATGTAATTTAATTTTTTTTTTTATTCGTGTCAGGCGCATAGTGTAACAGTAATAATAATAATGATATAAGTTGTTAAAAAAATTAAAAAACAAATAGATAAATAAAATTAACTTTAAAATAAACATTTCACAATATTAATAAATAAGGTAAAATAGAAAGGTACGTTAATGGTGGATTTATATTATTTCTGCCCAGATGCGGGCTACGTTAATTCCTTGGCTTGTGCCTTTGTGAATGTCTTCTGGGGTGCAGGTTTGGGAGCAAGCTGTGCATGTGATAATGTGTTGCATTGTCTGTACTTCTCCACATATGCACAAGGTGTCTGTGCTATCTAGCAATCCCCATTTTATTAGATTGTCTTTCGTTCGTCCAATTCCTGTCCTAAGTCTGTTTAGTGTTCGCCAAACCGGCCATGTTTCATTATGACCAGATGGGAGCGACTCGTTCGGCACCCAGCTGGAGGTACTGCTTATCTCATTTCTCCATCTGGTCGTTCTTTCTACTTCAGGATGTGTTGATGAGATGGCTTTTGTATGGTTCATGAAACTCTTCATGGATTTAAGGCGAGGGAGTTGTGGAGTTATACCGTACATAGGGTGTCGTGGATCTGCTGTTATTTTCGTTCTCTCCCAGTCTGCTTGCGTGGATCTTCTTATTGGCGGAGGGGCTATTCCTGAAAGTATATATAATTGTTCTACCGGCGTATTTTTTAGGCAACCAGTTATGAGTCGGCAGGACTCGTTTAGTGCGACATCGACCTTTTTAGTATGTGCTGACCTACCCCATACTGGACTGGCATATTCTCCCGCTGAAAAACATAAGGCTAATGCCGTAGTTCTTAGGACGTGGGGATTACAGC